TGTGTCAACAGCTAAGTGAAATTCGCAGTGACAGTTTGGAAATGACAGGGCTGTCGAGGTCAGATGGGATTTATTTTCAAAGTTTGGAAAGCAAGTTCATGACTATAAGTCCAGTGGAATTTCGCTCCTTTTCTCATCAACTGGTTGATCGAGTAAGCTATGTCACTACAACGTGCTGTGAATTTCCGAAACCAACTTATAAGTCCTAAAGCACGATGAAGCTCGTTTGTAGTCTATGAAGTTCGGTAGTCCTTGATAACAAGAAGACGATCAGGTGGAGGTTTGACGACATCACGAGAAATCTCATGCCTTAGGAACGCACACTTTTTATGAGCAAACATGCATTCCTTGGGGTCTAATGTAAGACCTGCAGAACGGAGACGAGCAGAAACCTGTGCTAAATCAATGAGATGACAAGGAAAGTTTTTGAAAAAAATTAAAAGTAACACAGAACCTTATCCATCAAAAGTTGGAAGCTGTTTGAGGCTGTATTAATGTTCACTAACAAAATTTGCTGTAAAACGTTCAGAGAGTTTAACCTGAGTCAAGTTATTACGCCGCTGGAAATATGATGGCAACCTGCAGCTGTCGCTGTTGATGACACGAATCTTCTTGAAATCTCTAAATTTTTAGCTCCACATTCAAGACGTTTGGTTGGGGACTGGGTTTGATGTATGATAAAGTAAGTTGTTTTGCTTTGTTTGCTCACTTTTATGGAAGTGAAAGTTTACCATGGAATTTAATGTCGGGTTACTAGTAAACAACCTCTTCAGGTTTCTTGTTTGTGATATTTTGAATCTGACATTTTGATTTGTCAATTTGAATTGATTTGATTGATCTTTCTACGTCGGTGTAAGGCTGCAAAATAGCAAAAAAAGTGTTATTTTTTACTAGTGAAATACAACACTTTTATCAATGAGGTTTTTCTGTATATTTCACTATAAATGCTCTGATGTCACTATTGTGGTTATATGTACAAAGATATTATCATCCATATTGTACTTCAATATTCACACAAAGAGATGTTACGTGATCAAAGACATACGATTTGATATTTTACCTTGAAACAATGTCGAATTATCGTTTACTTCCTGTTCTTCTTGGCGGTACCCTCACCTATTGTTTATCTCCATATCATCATTATCACTAAAATCCTCTAATAGAGCGGTGTGTTGTAATTTATCTTACATAAGCATTGTCTATGATAGTTTTATATATAAACATTGTCTTTAATAGATTTTACATAAGCATTGTCTATGATAGTTTTTATATAAACATTGTCTATAATATATTTTACATAAGCATTGTCTGTGATACTTTTTACATATTAACATTGTCTATAATTTATCTTACATAAGCATTGTCTATGATAGTTTTATATATAAACATTGTCTATAATAAATTTTACATAAGCATTGTCTGTGACAGTTGAGTATGCGTTTTCATGCGCTCAGATTACTATATAACATTATATGATGAACAAAGTGACATCTACTATATATGATATCGTTACGTGCCTGGATTAGTAAGATGATACTTAAAATCATGGGACGAATTTAGAAATAAAGTGTTTTTTGAAAAGTTATATAATGTAAGGAGTAAGCTTGTGAACGAGTGTATGTGTATGAGTCTCTTTAAGTGTGCGAATGTGTGTGTGTGTGTGTTTTTTTTCAATATTTTTCGAATTGTTGTTATCTTTTAATGTAACTCTTCATTATTGCAGAGAAAAAGGGAAATGTTCTGACTAAAATATTCCCATTTAAAAATCACTTTCAATTGTTGAAGAACATTTGCATGTCCTTGATGTTATTTTATATATCTATTGAGGACACCGTTCTACAGCTACAGGCTGATTATGAACACACCACATAAAGGGCTTTCTCTTGTTACAATGGCGTTCTGTATCGGTTGTGTTAGGTACTTACACAATGAAACATTTATATCAAAACCCGTGTAAGGAGTACAAAACATTTGGCTAGAACCTATTAGTGATGACCGACCAAATATAGGAAACAAACTTGCAAAGACAGGTACGTATTTTTATTTATTAATTTATATATATGTAAATGACTATACATTTATTTTTCACTTTATAAATTTTGAGAACGAGAGTTATTGTTTTCGTTTTAGCTAAGGTGTTATCGAATTTTAAAAGAATCCATCTGAACAAAGAAATCCCTTTGTTGGCTGACTTGTTTTCGTTTTCATACCAGGCGAATTTATTGAAGAGCTTATCAAAACAGGTCACAGAGGCCACGCAAAGCCGTCCAGTTTCACCTTAAGATATATTGATGGCGTCTTGTCTTTAAATAACAAGAAATCAATTGACTACGTCTACTGTATATATCTACCAGAACTGTAAACCAAAGAAACGACAGACTCTCCTACATCAGCTGCTTATCTCGATCTTTTCCTACAACGAAACCAACATGCACAGTTTTCTATCAATCTGTTTTATAAACGTGATGACTTCAATTTTCCTATTTTTAATTTTCTATTTCTGAATAGCAAAATCCCTGCATCTCCAACCTATGATGTTTACATGTGACAGTTGATTTGATATCCAAGGGCCTATTCCATTATCACGAACATCGTGCAAGAAGACGTCAACTGACTGACTCGTAACAAAAGAGTTTAAAAGTTGCAGGTTGATGATAATCATGATTGCCATAGCGATCTCACGGAGAAATATTCTATTATATTTCTGTGTGTAACATGAAGCTGGACGTATTTGATGCTCGTTAGTTTCACTCTTGCTTATTGTATACCTAGTTTTCATTTGGCAACGTGAAATCACTTACTAAGATTGACAAAGGTTAACATGACGGGTGTCGTTGTCACCATGCTATGCGGATGTACACGCTTAATTAACTGCTGACTAAACATACACGGTTTAAAGTTACCTGTTTTGAAACATTTTAAATACTGCACATAACGAGTCAAGGGAATGAGAGGAGGATGTGCTGTCGCCATCTTGTACGATACCAGTTCTGTATTCACAGAAAATTTAAAGGTATGTTTACAAATGACTTTTCACTCTAAGTAAAAACGCATTGCAAAATCACACAGAATAGCTTCAAGAATACAAGTTTGTTGAAACGAATTATCTTGAACCACTTTTATGGTCACAGGGGTCAAATGATTTTAAACGACCTCTTATTTGACTTGATTCATGTTGGGATGAAAGATCTACCATGTTTGTTTAAATGAATGACTAACTTTCAAGGTAAAAGCGGTCACATATGCTGGCATGCTGACTTGAAGGTAAACCTAGTTTGTTAACATGATTGACCTAGATTCACTTACAAGGTCACTCAGGTAAAATATTTTTATTTTAAAAATCTTTAAACTTGTAGCATGGATATTGGGCTTGTAGCATGTTTTGTTTAAGGGGTACCAAGGCAGGTCCAAGGAATGGTTTTGAGCTATTTTTATGGTCATATGGATAAAATGTGTTAAGGAAATTGACTAAACAAAAAAAAACTGACAAAAGTCCTTTACTTCTGCGTAAGCTGCAAAGTAGTTGACCGATTCATTTGGGTCTCTTGTGTTATGCATTACTTAAACCGTTCTTATACTCTTAGTTGCGCCACTTACACAACCCATCAGAAGCTGAAAATTCTATTTCACGAGAATGCTGTCTGCAAGCCTCTGCAAGACAACAGCCTTCTAACCAATAACCAAACGATTAAGACTTATCCTATTTGTCGGGTTGGTTTTGTGGATAGAATTTGCGAAAAGAAATTAACTTGGCAGCCACAGTTGCAGCATTTGTTTAAAAAGATTTATAAGGGATATAGAATCAAGATATTTGGCTAATAGATTCTCGGGGACCAGCAAACGTCCTGCACAACCCATCAGTTGTAGACAAATAAGGTTTAGCTAGCAGTGTAAGCATGATACTTGCAAATGCTTTCAATATACATGTGGTATAACGGTAATTGTAAAACAAATAGAATATCGGTTGAGTAAGGCAGGCCCATTAGGCCACTTTTTGAAAACTCTAACCTATCCTTAACAGTTTTAATCTCAAACAACGACATTTTTACGCATTTATTGTTTATTATGTTTTCTCTTTAATGCTTAGTCCAAAAACATTTGAGGATAAAGTTATCGATAAATGTTTTAGAAATCTGATAATCCACACTCCGCATTTAATGGTCGGGCCTGCTGAATTTGGCTTTCCTTCTCTGTATGTCCCTAGCACCACCAATGAGTCGTAGATGATAAAAGGAGCAACTCGGCATACTCTGTATCTATAACCAAATTAGATTCACTTCTTCTATTCACACGTGTTCATCTTCAGTGATCAGCTAAGCTATTGGAGACGATAAAGTAGGACCATTTTGCGGAGACATAATGTTTAACTTATTGTTTTACTAGAAGACAATTTTCAGGTTAACTGTATATAGTATATTATGATATTAAAAGAATCATACAAAGACCAAAAAGAAATTACATCACCTACTCTATTTGCATTTTTACAATCTTGTGTAAATTTATTTGCAGAGGACACAAAAACTACAATTTTCACTTTCTATTATCATGTTAGTTTTGAGATCAGTAACAATAAGATTATTATTTAGATGCCCCCTCCACACACCCCTACTCCCCCTCCTTCCCCCTCTACTTTAATCCCCAAATTATCTATGAACCTATACAACATCTAATATTTTGTGAACCAATCTACATGCGGCTTTGTATTAAATGTTGTGTGTTCAGGCTTATCATTGAATGGTCGCATGACAGCACATGTTGGCACCTCTCCTTTGTTACACATTCTGCACGAGGTCTCATGCCATGAATGATGTCTTGATTTATTTACGTGATATTAAATTGCTGTTGTATGTAAATCATGATTAGCAAATATCTGATAAGAAAATTAATGTTATCAAATCCTTTTCGTGTTTATAACTTTATATATACTGATTTTTTTTAATACAGAGTCTAGGATGAATTCCAGACCACTTAAAATGATCCTATTAATTTTCCTGATCTTCATGACAAGACTAATCATTATAAAAGTATTGAGCATTAACACTAACACAACATTAGTGGCTGTGAAGACTACATCAACACACTTCATACCGGTTTTTGAATCCTACCGTAGTGCCAAATTTGATAATATTTCTAAAGGACAGACTGAAAAAAAGGTACGTGTTTTGTCACGAAGAGAGCATGGTCAATGGTTTGAACAGACAGACACGTGTGAGATGCAGCCTGATTTTATTCGTGCTCAGCTGAAGGAGCCAGTAAATACACCTATATATGTTTACAACAAGGCGACTGATGTTTTTGTTTCCGGAAGTATCTTAACGGAAGGAATGTGGGAGGGAGACCTTGTTAATCAAACACGCGACTTTCTTATGGAGGATCGGGAGCGTGTGCTTCTTGACCTCGGATCAAATGTTGGTGTGTTTTCTCTAATGGCAGCGAAAATCGGTCGCAAGGTATTTTCTGTGGATATTCTAGCAGGAAATATACAAAGACTTTGTGCTTCTAGTTTAGCAGGTCACTTCCAGGACCAGGTTACCATAATTCAAAACGCACTCTCCGATGAAAGAGGGAACGTAACATATAAAACGTACAGAGGAAATGTCGGAGGAACATTTGTAAAGAAACTGGACGGCGTCCAAACGGCACACGGCATCAAAATCATCCCAGCTATATTACTAGATGATTTGTTGGAGATTTTCAAGTTTCAAAAAGTTGTCATCAAAATGGACGTAGAAACATTTGAAGAACAAATCCTAAAAGGCGGTAAAAAGTTTTTCACGGAGGCACGAGTGGACTACCTGTTGATGGAATTTGGGTATCATCGCACCAGACCGAGTGGTAGATCTATCATAGAAATTTTAGATAAATACGGCATGACTCCTATGTTACCGTCTGTTCATGACGTCCGCAACTTGACGGACTCAGAAATAAGGGCATGGCCTGGATACGTCACGTGGAAACGGAAACATTTGAAATGATATAAATTGTCATACACGATTGTTCCATTTCAAATTAAAAACCAGGAAAAATACATGTCCGCAAAGAGAAGTCAAGAACAATGCCTTATATTTAAAGTGTACTCTGAGATAAAAATAACAATGAATATATATTTTTATCTATGATTCAAAATAAAAAAAAATATGACATGTAAAGAGTAAGATTTTCACCTGTCCTTCTATTAATCGGCATTAGCGAAACATATCGGCTGTGACGTCACAAGTTTAAACGACTCGTAACCGAGGGCAGCCTTATTATGAGGTGTCAGATTGCAAATGAATGTCTTATAGATAATTCTGACGAGACACAAATTACACCAATTTTACACCTTCTCTTGAAATATGTTTACATATGTAAATGATTACTATCATGGAAACATACATATATTTGCAATAATTATTACTTTAAAAATCAAAATATGTTACTAGACTTAATAAATTACTGCACATGTCTGAAGGTATCTGAATTAAGGTCTGTGGTAAAATGTTCAATTTAAATATAATTTTCTTCGGAAATCCTCATTCAAAGTAATGATAAATTAGCTTAATATTCCTTTAAGTGGTATAAAAATGACACAATAAAAAGTAGTGAAAGTATTTTTTCAAAAGCATTGTTTATTGGTGAGTTTAATGGAAACTAAACATTGTATACGGTTTCTAAACACTGGTGAGGAATTTGTCGTATTTCATACCAAAATTTCTATTTTCAAAAGCTATATACTATGATACTACTACTGTCCCAAATATAGAAATGTATGACTTCAAAATATTTATAAATAACTTCTATGTTGGTGTCTGCTGTATAACTGACTTAACTTGTGACGTCACAGATATACGAAGGTAAAGTGTGCATTAAGGAAGTAACTACGGCGGTCGCACTGTCTTGTCATTTTATCGTATAATATGAATTACATATTTCACAGCTAAATATAGCAAAACGTTCAGGGTACACTTAAAAAGGTTTACCAACAAGACTTGCGACGATTGGATTTCATCGAGTTGCTTTTGTCGAAAGGTGTTTTTTCGTGAACTGTTTCTTAAAGTGCATAAGATTGCTGAAGGAACCTACACAGAGTTCTTTGTACAGCATTGAATTACCACAGTTTAAACATTTACATATTACGTAAAGCTTCCAGAGCGTGGGAGACTATTTATACCATGTTTCGGTCGTCTTGCTCAGTGATGGATACATGATACAAAATCCAATTTTGTCGTTTTATTCACCACCTTTTATGTAATTAATTTCATTGATTATATGAATAATTCCATCACAAAATTATGTTTGCATGACTTGGTACAGCATGCAATGGTTTCTACCCTAACAATCCACAAGGGACCGATTGGCAGGTATAATTGATATGTTGTAGTAGTGCACCCAGACTTGAATAAAATACACAATGGGGTAGTCGTGTTAATGATTAACATACGTTTATCAGCTATGGTTTAAACAGAAGTACGCATTTTCTAACCCTAACTGTTGAAACTATTTATGATGATGCTAACTAAATGTTATTAGTTTCTTCTGTAATATTTGATACTATATACCTTTCGGATTTATTCTTGACTGGATCACGTGACCAATGCTTTCATTCCCAATCTTTTTCATCTTGTGTAACAATAGTGCTTTGATACACTGAAAAGCAATGATGTGAGAGAAAAGATGTATAACAATAATATTATACTCGATTCAGAAGACGCAGTAATGTGATTTAACCAAGGAAATAAACTCAGAACTTATAAACTTATAAATGTTATGAAAAAACAGTCCAAATTTCGACTCGGACGTCTTCCTATAATGTTACAGATATATCCGAGATATCCGTGCCGATTTATTGTTTCAAGCTTGTTTGCTATGGCATGGGTGTTATTCTCTAAGTATAAGAGACAAGTTTTATACATTATACTAATGAATACTTACTGTTGCAAACTCTTTGTGTTATGATGAGACATATGTGTTTTCCACTTTATATTAGAGTAAGTAAAATATTCCTGTAGATACGAGAGCTGATGAGTTATATGTACACTTTAATCATCAAGCATTAATCTTAATCATTTTAATAAATACTAATTATTAGCTCTTTTATGTTATAATAAAGTAACTGATACAGCTTCAAAGTGTCTCCATTATCATTAGCCATTGTAGTGGAGTTTGTGATATTTGATTGTATTTTTTTGTATACTCAACAACATAAAAGAAACGAACAATTAGATAATACAATTAATAGTATATGGTGTTGGGAAATTTGTACAGAATGTAGGCACCTCTTGCACGAATCCCTGCACGGATTCTCCTATGCATTGAATTCATGAAAACATTTATTCGCCTTGAGGAAATTTGTTCCATTTTTGTCTTAATGCTGCGATCAACTTGTTAGTTGTATGGTTCGAGGTTTCCTAATACGCCTGTCCAGCTCCTCCCACATATGCTAAATGGGACACATGTCGGGGCTATATGGGGGCCATTCCAGAGGCTGAACGTTGTTTGTCGTGAAAAAATCATTGTCTTGTTGTCTTAGAAGTGGAAGGACATGTGTTTCGAGGATCTGGTCACTGTTTCGAACGGCGTTGAAGTTTGGATCCAGGACCACTAAGGGGGATTTTACTCCATAGGAGATGCCTCCCCAAACTATTCAATAAAAGGCACCATTAATCTAGTAATTCTGTGACAGAAGCTCCACCGAATCTATCGCGATCAACCACGCATGTGTCAACGAAACGATCACCGCGTCCTCTATATACCATTTTTCTTCCGTCTGAGCAATACAGACAGAATTCAGACTCGTCGGTGAAAATCACACGCCCCCACCGACGCATCCTACTCCTATTCTGGCGCCTCCAGTCTAGACGCAAGTGCCGCCACCGTGGTGTCAGAGGTGGCCCGACATAAGGTCGGCGCGCAATGGTTCTCTCAGCACGAAACGCGGTTCCTGGCAGAGTGCTAATGGGTCTGCCATGAGAATCTAAGGTGTACTGCAGGGGAAATTTCGTTTCTTTCATTTTTTGTTGAGTATGATACTGATGTGTGACACTAAAATATAATTATATTGTGTTGTATTGTATTTAAACTCCAATAATGCCGACCGACGTGAGAAATGTGATGAATATGGACCGTTCAATGTCTAGGAAACTAGATGGCTAATGAAGGTTTAGCGCGTACTTCACAAGACCGATGGAGTCATGGAGGTCACATACTTCTCTCTCTCTCTAGCTGAAGATAAGGTTTTTATAATCTCTGGTCAACAAGTTAATAAAAAAACAGGACCAATAATTCAGTTATTTTGAAAGTTCACGGCAAGAAATAGCAAGTTTTTAACATTTTGTATATCAAACGAAAATATTTATTACTCGCCTCACTTTGGCATTTTACAGTACACTTTTATTGGATTAGACTTTGCGTAATGACATTTATTAACTGTTGTAAAATCATATATAATATCTTCATTGCCTCCTACATAAATGATGCCTCCATACAAAATAATTTTACAATCTTCTGAGCAGTATCTTTGGAAGAAGATAATCAAGATATTAAAACATGAAAATCAGGCACAGTTGTTATATAATGTACATTTCAAAACATTACACACATAGGCTTAAAATCATATTTGCTTTATTGAAAACGCTGGCTCATATAAGCATATTTACAATAACAATTTGTTTTATTTCTCAACAGGACGTCAGTATCTAATAATAACAACAAATTCTGAGGTTAGTTGTTATTCCTCTGGACAGTAGGATTTCAGTACACCCCACACAAATAACTTTTCATAGACTTTGAAGAAATATCACAAAATGAACGGCATTTAGGTACGTTTCAACTAAAAGCCACCAAAATGAGCATATTTAAGGAGGGATAAGACAACACATGTAATTAGGAAGTAGCGTAGATAAAAAACAGTCAAATCCCTAAATATTAAGAGAAAATTTATGCTGCTTCGAAAGCTACATTTTAACAATTCATGTCAAAATGGCGTTACTGTATTCGAGCCATGCTTGTTCGGGTAGTTGCACAATAAATTAGCTAGTTACTCTATATATATATGTCACATTGGTATGACACAACATAATTATGGAGATTCCTCTGTTTAAATATGACAGTCGTGTATCTTTTTGTAACGTAAAAGCATGACAACCTAACACCAGATTTTAGTGACTTCTATAATCATATCAGAATATAATACTATCATAAAAAACAAATCTCCGTTACATAGTTACATAGTACATTGCTTAATTTGTAGAGACAGCACATGATACATCTTTCTACTATAGTTCACATGTGTGTCTCCTGGGAATACGATAGTGCACCTTTTGCTGGCTGTTTACAATTATATACTAATTTCCATTTTCCAACGGGAAATCTGTACTAAATGCATGAATATAAGGTCATGTGACTGCAAGGATATTTTGAATTACATAAAAAAAACAATATTTAAGCGGCAACAGGAGACCTAAATACGAGGAATTACAAGTGTATGATATAAATACACATTATAATGATTATGGTGTATATAAAAATTCTGGTTATATATTCATATCAACAATAAAGCCATATAGTTGGTACCAACGGGGTCCAATGACATGGATAGACTTGTGAATGCATATCATTTCACAAAAAATGTTTTCCAATACCGTTGTTATTTAAATTTATGTAATACGTATTCAATAGACCTGCAATTCATTTAAAAAGTGTACAACATTAATAACATCATTGCATACTATTTCACCGTATACCAAACGTTCGATAGTGTTCAACAATTCGAACACGCTGTACAGTCACCATTCATCTCTGTCGTGTCGTTAGGTGACTTGTTTTCACACAAGTGATCCGGCATAAAAGGGATGTACTTGAAACCTTTCCATCCTCGAAGAAATTTGGGGACCAAAGGGTCATAAACATCAAGTCCCTCCAGGTATCCCATTTCTTCATTTGTTTTTGTGTGAGGATCGTCTCCTTTCATAGCCTTATGTTCCCATGCAGCTAAGCCCCTTTCCTCGCGAGTACCTGGAAATACAATCATTTTGCAGAAAAGGGGGTTAGGTAAGTTATTCAAAATGTGTGAAATAAACACATCATATTCGATTGTGTTATCAGCATGGTCTTCAGTGTGAAGAAACCAGATCTTACTGTCATCATTTTATTACGACATGGTATCAGTGACTTTTAATGTGAAAATCAAGGTCAGTTTTGGAAACCGACATGTAATTCCAATAGGTAGGTATTATGTCAGTATACATCCGGTTATACCTGGTACAGTGTTGTCCAGGAGACAGGCCGTCACAGCTCCAGTCAGATTTGCATTCCCCATTAACATAATGAGTAGTTGGTCCAAGCTGGCATTTCCTGAATAATAACATCAACGCAATAGTACAAGTGGAGGAACAGGGAAATATCCATACTAATTCAGAAATTCAGTCTTTAAGTAGAAAGTTAGTAGGAAATCATATGAAATGGAAACGACTAATCCAACGAACATTTGGTGTTAACATTCTAACAGCCTCAATTACAACTCCGTTACCACAAAAGTGTACAGAACACGTCCACAAGAAAAAGGCTTACCTGTATCGATCCCGGAAGAGTTCTTCTCTACCCAGTAGGGAACCATTAACCCGAGTATCAGAGAGATTCCAATGATTGCGAGATTCCGGTTGGACGTGAGACTGACGTGTTGTAGATTGGAAAGTACAACTCCTGTAAACATCCCGATCATGGTCAGCACTGTCCCTCCTAACACTGGATACGGGATCATTATAAAAAATGCGCAGAATTTTCCTAGTGTTCCAAACAGCATGTATAAAATACCGACTACCATAAACACACGCCTGCTGGCTACCTGTACAGTTATATAACAAACTATTTTTATACATTTATCCTGTGCATTTCACGCTAATACTGCAACAAAACGAAATAGTTTATCCCTATCATTTTAACAGTTAGCAGATCAGATTTGTTATTTACAGCAAACTTTGTTGATCAATACAATTTTCTGTTTACTCTAAAGAGACCAGTCATTGATGGTAATAAATCACAATTGTGCATACCTTTGTGAGACCTATGATCCCAATATTGCCACCATAAGTGGAGGTGGCATGGCCACATCCTACTGTTCCAGAAAGGAAAGAGCAAAAACCTTCCACTGCAATGCCTCTGTTTACAGCGTGCGTCGGAGGTGTGGGTACCCGGCATGTGCGTGCGCATGCGTAGTAATCACCAATCGAGTCAAGGATAGAAATCAGCGTTGCGATGAGAAAACCAATAAATGCGCTACCACTGAATGATGGCGGGCCGAACTGGCCTGTAAAATTGTTTAAAATAATTTTCTGAAACTAACATCTTTTATTAAAATCATATTCTGACTGATTTAGGCATTGACACGTAATAGGTAAGATAAAACAGACTTTAAGTCAAAAAGATCGCTGCTTTTGTTATGTATTGACCGTATACTGGATGCATGTAAACAAAAACATGTAATATTTGATATTTTTCAACTGTCACCTAGAGACCATATTCATTAAACATGACACATTTTTACTAATTTGCTGTTTAGCTGCAGTATATACGGGCGAAATATACATAAGGTAATAAATATAGTGAATGCAATTGACAGGTATGGCAACGTTGTTTATCTACCTGGGTAAGGGAAATATATCCAGCTTGCGTTCTGTATGACACCTGACATGACATCTGTCCTTGCAAAATAGTCAGTAGCCTTTGGATCATTGGAAAACACACCACAAACTGTAAGTATGGCACTCACAGCCCATCCAAACAAAAGTGCTATCAGAATCTGTTCAGGATAAAATAGGCAATACCAACATGTCATAAAATCTGAAATCCAAACAGATGAACAAAACTAGGACGAACAAAGACAACTCGAAATAGTTGGTAGGATACCTTTATAATACAAACTATATCACTTACTGCTGCTGTTTGATGAAACTGTGAACGTATAATGTGAAACCCTTTTGATCTGGTCCAAAATGGCAGCGGCACCTTCCATTGTCCCAGGTAAAGCGATAGAATCAGAGATACAGCACATGTCCTGCAAGTAATAAAAAGCAGTCTTAAAAATATATCATGGTGAGATGTCGCATGTCATTGTAGATAGTAAAGCCTCGGTAATCTAGTCACAACTAGTTCAGTTGTCCCGAATTCAATTGTTGTCCCTATATCACGTCTAGCTTCGACAGTCATCACTAATCTCGATATTATGCTGTTGCCCATATCCAGTCTCTGTTACTACTGTTGCCTATATCCAGTCTCTGTTACTACTGTTGCCAATACCCAGTCTCTGTTACTGCTATTACCAATATCCAGTCACTGTTACTACTGTTACCAATATCCAGTCACTGTTACCACTGTTGCCAATACCCAGTCTCTGTTACCACTGTTGCCAATACCCAGTCTCTGTTACTACTGTTACCAATATCCAGTCACTATTACTACTGTTGCCAATACCCAGTCTCTGTTACTACTGTTACCAATATCCAGTCACTGTTACTACTGTTACCAATATCCAGTCACTGTTACTACTGTTGCCAATACCCAGTCTCTGTTACTACTGTTACCAATATCCAGTCACTGTTACCACTGTTGCCAATACCCAGTCTCTGTTACTACTGTTACCAATATCCAGTCACTGTTACCACTGTTGCCAATACCCAGTCACTGTTACCACTGTTGCCAATACCCAGTCTCTGTTACCACTGTTGCCAATACCCAGTCTCTGTTACCACTGTTGCCAATACCCAGTCTCTGTTACTACTGTTACCAATATCCAGTCACTGTTACCACTGTTGCCAATACCCAGTCACTGTTACCACTGTTGCCAATACCCAGTCTCTGTTACTACTGTTACCAATATCCAGTCACTGTTACTACTGTTGCCAATATCCAGTTATTGTTACTATTGTTGGCCATATCCAGACTTTGTCGCTACTGTTGCCTCTATCCCGTTCCTGTTGTTCCTGTTGTCCCTATCCCGTCTGTATCGTTCCTGTTGTCTGTATACATACTGTATATTGCCCTATCCAGTAACCACATGTTCCGTCCTTTCACCACTCAATTTATTGTTTATTGTTGTGAGACAACAAGATCAGAAGTGACGATCTAGTCATTTCTGACCTTATTATCCAATTATCCAGTCATCATTTCTATAACTGTCTCACTATCTAGTCACCACTAATCTTACTGTCTCACTAATCTTATTGTCTCACTATCTAGTCACCACTGATCTTACTGTTTCACTATCTAGTCACCACTGATCTTACTGTATCACTATCTAGTCACCACTGATCAAACTGTCTCACTATCCAGTCACCACTGATCTTACTGTTTCACTATCCAGTCACCACTGATCTTACTGTCTCACTATCCAGTCATCACTGATCTTACTGTCTCACTATCCAGTCACCACTAATCTTACTGTCTCACTATCTAATCTTACTGTCTCACTATCCAGTCACCACTGATCTTACTGTCTCACTATCTAGTCACCACTGATCTTACTGTCTCACTATCTAGTCACCACTGATCTTATTGTCTCACTATCTAGTCACCACTGAGATCTTACTGTCTCACTATCTAGTCACCACTGATCTTACTGTCTCACTATCTAGTCACCACTAATCTTACTGTCTCACTATCCAGTCACCACTAATCTTACTGTCTCACTACCTAGTCACCACTGATCTTACTGTCTCACTATCTAGTCACCACTGATCTTACTGTCTCACTATCCAGTCACCACTGATCTTATTGTCTCACTATCTAGTCACCACTAATCTTACTTTCTCACTATCCAGTCACCACTAATCTTACTGTTTCACTATCCAGTCACCACTGATCTTATTGTCTCACTATCTAGTCACCACTGATCTTACTGTCTCACTATCTAGTCACCACTGATCTTACTGTCTCACTATCTAGTCACCACTGATCTTATTGTCTCACTATCTAGTCACCACTGATCTTACTGTCTCACTATCCAGTCACCACTTATCTTACTGTCTCACTATCCAGTCACCACTAATCTTACTGTCTCACTATCGCCTTTGCCTTCGTAGCGCCCTGTTAAGCCAATGACTTTTTGGACAAATGGAACTTGTTTCTGTACAAACAATTGTACTTGATGGATTATCGAGGCTTTATTATATTCTATAAAGGATATGTTTCTCTCCTTATTTTTATATAATGTTTACTAAACAATGTTTCTACTGTTTATATTATAATCAATCTTAAATTTGGCCTTTCACGACAAAATCATGATCAATGTAATAAATTTACCACTGAATAATGGTTCAATGAAAAAGTATTGCGGAGATTATTTCGCCAATGAATAAGAGAAATGTAACAAACATATCTCAAACTATAGCTGAGTACATGTACTCTATGAGGTAAGATACTCTGTACCTGAAGGTAAATCTGGTCAAATTCTGATATCGATATTCCTGCAAGTAAGACATGTTTAGTGAAGAATTATATTGTTTTGGGTAAATTGCCTGTTGCTGCAGGTCTGATAGTAATACTGATACGTTGAATATATTACCTACCGCATCACTCCACTTCTAGACATCAGCAAAGAACCTATAGAGATAAAACTCATCACAAGATTCGCAAGAAATAAAGCTTCGATATTATAACACGGAATCATTGGAGCAAAGCCAAGCATGACTTCTACAAACAAATAACAAGATTGTGTCAGTTTTAACTTCCATTATTTTACAGAGTATATCATATTAAAATTCTTATGTGTTGATAGGTACAAGAATACAACAATTTTCACCTTCAGTAAGTAAAAAAAATGTCTTAGTTATACAAAAGAAGACTGTTATTATCATGGTGGAATGTTATAGAAATTGATATTTCTTGATTTCAACCTGTCGTGTCAGTTATAGTTTTATTGGTATTGATCTATATTTATATTTATCAGATAAAAAGAAATTAGTCTGAACAGAACGTGTTTGACTTACATGAGTCCCATTCCCCAGTGGACGGAGACGAATTTTGTGACCGTTTTAAACATGTACAGTCCAACCAATAAAATTGCAGGAACTATAGTAACAGGCCCGATGAAACGAAGTAAGGTGCCTACGAGTCCTGTGGCACCAATTAAGCTGTGGATGGATATAAAGTGTAAGTATAACATCAGCTGTAGAGATAGAGTGATATAAAGTGTAAGATACACACATGATAATTAGTGATAAAGTGACAATAATACACATTTTGTAAGTTATGGTAGATATAAATAATATAACGTTTTCCAAAAAACTTTAGGTCACACCGTCAAAATCTGAATCCTTGAAAAAATATTTCATTTTGAAAGATATCAAAAGTAAGTTTGTAAGATATAAAGAGTAAGTATAACACACAGTTTGTAAGTTATGGTAGATATAAAGTGTAAGTATAACACACAGTTTGTAAGTTATGGTAGATATAAAGTGTAAGTATAACACAGTTTGTAAGTTATGGTAGATATAAAGTGTAAGTATAACACAGTTTGTAAGTTATGGTAGATATAAAGTGTAAGTATAACACACAGTTTGTAAGTTATGGTAGATATAAAGTGTAAGTATAACACAGTTTGTAAGTTATGGTAGATATAAAGTGTAAGTATAACACACAGTTTGTAAGTTATGGTAGATATAAAGTGTAAGTATAACACACAGTTTGTAAGTTATGGTAGATATATAGTGTAAGTATAACACACAGTTTGTAAGTTATGGTAGATATAAAGTGTAAGTATAACACAGTTTGTAAGTTATGGTAGATATAAAGTGTAAGTATGACACACAGTTTGTAAGTTATGGTAGATATAAAGTGTAAGTATAACACACAGTTTGTAAGTTATGGTAGATATAAAGTGTAAGTATAACACACAGTTTGTAAGTTATGGTAGATATAAAGTGTAAGTATAACACACAGTTTGTAAGTTATGGTAGATATAAAGTGTAAGTATAACACACAGTTTGTAAGTTATGGTAGATATAAAGTGTAAGTATAACACACAGTTTGTAAGTTATGGTAGATATAAAGTGTAAGTATAACACAGTTTGTAAGTTATGGTAGATATAAAGTGTAAGTATAACACACAGTTTGTAAGTTATGGTAGATATAAAGTGTAAGTATAACACACAGTTTGTAAGTTATGGTAGATATAAAGTGTAAGTATAACACACAGCTTGTAAGTTATGGTAGATATAAAGTGTAAGTATAACACAGTTTGTAAGTTATGGTAGATATAAAGTGTAAGTATAACACACAGTTTGTAAGTTATGGTAGATATAAAGTGTAAGTATAACACACAGTTTGTAAGTTATGGTAGATATAAAGTGTAAGTATAACACATCCCGTTTGTAAGTGATGGTAGATATAAAGTGTAAGTATAACACACAGTTTGTAAGTTATGGTAGATATAAAGTGTAAGTATAACACACAGTTTGTAAGTTATGGTAGATATAAAGTGTAAGTATAACACACAGTTTGTAAGTTATGGTAGATATAAAGTGTAAGTATAACACACAGTTTGTAAGTTATGGTAGATATAAAGTGTAAGTATAACACACAGTTTGTAAGTTATGGTAGATATAAAGTGTAAGTATAACACAGTTTGTAAGTTATGGTAGATATAAAGTGTAAGTATGACACACAGTTTGTAAGTTATGGTAGATATCAAGTGTAAGTACAACACACAGTTTGTAAGTTATGGTAGATATATAGTGTAAGTATAACATACCGTTTGTAAGTGATGGTAGATATAAAGTGTAAGTATGACATACAGTTTGTAAGTTATGGTAGATATAAAGTGTAAGTATAACACACAGTTTGTAAGTTATGGTAGATATAAAGTGTAAGTATAACATACCGTTTGTAAGTTATGGTAGATATAAAGTGTAAGTATAACACAGTTTGTAAGTTATGGTAGATATAAAGTGTAAGTATAACACACAGTTTGTAAGTTATGGTAGATATAAAGTGTAAGTATAACACACAGTTTGTAAGTTATGGTAGATATAAAGTGTAAGTATAACACACAGTTTGTAAGTTATGGTAGATATAAAGTGTAAGTATAACACATCCCGTTTGTAAGTTATGGTAGATATAAAGTGTAAGTATAACACACAGTTTGTAAGTTATGGTAGATATAAAGTGTAAGTATAACACACAGTTTGTAAGTTATGGTAGATATAAAGTGTAAGTATAACACACAGTTTGTAAGTTATGGTAGATATAAAGTGTAAGTATAACACACAGCTTGTAAGTTATGGTAGATATAAAGTGTAAGTATAACACACAGTTTGTAAGTTATGGTATATATATAGTGTAAGTATAAAACACAGTTTGTAAGTTATGGTAGATACAACAGTTTGTAAGTTATGGTAGATATAAAGTGTAAGTATAACACACAGTTTGTAAGTTATGGTAGATATAAAGTGTAAGTATAGCACAAGTTTGTAAGTTATGGTAGATATAAAGTGTAAGTATAACACAGTTTGTAAGTTATGGTAGATATAAACACACAGTTTGTAAGTTATGGTTATGGTAGATATAAAGTGTAAGTATAACACACAGTTTGTAAGTTATGGTAGATATAAAGTGTAAGTATAACACACAGTTTGTAAGTTATGGTAGATATAAAGTGTAAGTATAACATACAGTTTGTAAGTTATGGTAGATATAAAGTGTAAGTATAACACACAGTTTGTAAGTTATGGTAGATATAAAGTGTAAGTATAACACACAGTTTGTAAGTTATGGTAGATATAAAGTGTAAGTATAACATACCGTTTGTAAGTTATGGTAGATGAATTCCTGGCTGACATGCTGGGTCGTGCCGATTTTCATAGACGACAGAACTTGTGAACTATTTAAGTGAAAGGATGTGTTGTCTGTGTCGAAATCGAAATAGTGGACACTGTTGTTGTTTGTAGGTCCTGCAATTAAGTAAATTTGTTATTTTTATGTGAAGTTACAATAAAGGTGTTAGGAAAATCAGAATTTAGCTCATTACTTCAGGTAATTAAATATACTTTGAATGTTTAATCAGTTAAAATGAAGGTCTAATAAGAGTTTGTATTTTGAATTTTGAGATGCACGTTACTACTGGGTAATGCATACCAGTTGTGAAGGCCGCCTTACAGCGACCAGGGTTGATTTCCTGTAACGCCACCAGTGGCACAATGTACTCGTACGAACCGCCTTGGAACATCGGCAATCTAGGATTGTAACATATAACTATGTTTATTGATTCCAGACAGATATTTGGTATAATATGTTTTTTATCGTTATTTTTTTAGTACTGTAAAAAATTTACGCAAGGCTTGTTCTTCACACTGTTGTAATTCAGATAGATTTATGGTATTATTTGCTTTGGGGATGGGCCTTAAACAGCTTACAAAAATATCTATATTGTTTATAAGAATTGCTGTCACATGCGAGATCAAGATTTTTATTTCTACATGTATTAGTAGTCATGGTTTAAATATCTATTTTGTATGTAACGCTAACCTCGGAATGAAAATAGGATTTGATGAATTTTCATGTTGTTTGAAAATGCAAGAGACATCCTGACTGTGCGGTTTACCGACGACATGTTGTTTATTATAACCAATTGGCCGATCGACAGCTTTTGATTGACTTACTGGGTCCTGGCAATATGCGTCAAATGAAAAAGACAGTTTTTACTCCTTCAATAGCGGAAAGGGCTGTAATTCACAGATACAAATTTAGTATTTTGAATTCCCTATTGATTGGTATATATATTGAATAAATGCAGTGATTTGCCATGTTAACCTTATTTGAAAAGGAAAACCTCATAAATATTCGACTGAAAACGGGTATATCCCCAAATTTTTCCGCTGACTGGGGAAAACATGGCCACTAATTTTAACTGTATCATCGTCTCTTGTTTGGAAGGACGCTCGTTGAAAGTATGACCCAGACACGAAACCGTTTGCTTTTAGTTTTTTCTTCAACGACACGTTAGAAGTATAATTAAGTCCGATATCATTGGGAATGACGTTCAATGCTGACGACACTTTGTTTGTCGGAGATGGTAAGAGTAGCCTCCCTTTATTTTCGGTAGGTGTGGTTATCTTTGCGTTGTCGATCGGCCAATTAATAAATCATTATAGTACCTGTGTAACATCCTGGGAAATCTACATCTGTCGGATTACAGGACAACAACATGCGCTTTAGTGACACGTCAGCTTTATACTCGGGATGCATGTGAAAAGTCAGGCTATGAGAGAAGTCCCATTAGCGCGGTATTACAAAAAAGATTCACAGGTGAATAGAGCCTATCATAACAGCTGTTTCGTCTTTTTTAAAGATTCTAGTACTCGTAAGTGAGGCTAGGATCCTGAATTAATAACATCCAAGTTATAATCGATTGAGTGACTAAGAAGATTGTCATAAAATAACAATTGTGAATTCATACTTAGAATTATAGACTGCCTCAAAATTCAAGAAATTTCATTTATTTCAAAATTGGATGATTTCATCGGAACGTCTAAGATAACTGTATGTTTAATGAAAATGTCCAAAATCACGACAATGGACAAGATTTATGTTACAAGATGATGTTTGTCTTTCAATGATTAACGCCCTGTCAACAGCTATGTTCATTTTAGGACGAGACAAACACTTACGCCGTAAACAATACACGCGTGGACACAGAACAGATCCTATTGACTTCGGAATAGCTTTGATTGTGGTAGAAACAGGCCACAGAAGCTCGTGATCATTTTATTTAGAGTGTCTTTACCTCTCGTTATGAAAATGTTTTTAAAAAGTTACAAAAACGTGTGTATGTTGTAACATTGAAAAATTACTAACTCGAGTGAAATAGATATCGTAAACTACAAGCACTCCTTGTGTAAACTCTATTCATCATTCATTTGCTATGAACGAAAAGCTGCTGGTTTTCATCAGTTAATTCTGCCGTATTACATACCACTGGGTAAGATTATCTGTAGTGTCAGTTTTAGTCATTAACACAAGGTTTTCATTCTACCAAACAAACATTTGTAGGCCTGTCAGTTCCTGGCTACCACACGTAAACTGTGTTTATTTGTTAGACGGAGTAATGTGATAGGTACAAGAATGAAACATAACACGCACACAGTTCAGCACCCTACCGGAGGACAGATCGGTCGGTCGGTAGCTAGGTTAGTCGTTCCCACATGAGGTTACCTGTTTTAATCCCCTTCATGTTCTTCATGCATACAGACAAGAAACTTTGTAAATTTATATCATTTTTTTGTTTGGTGTTGTTTCATTCGAGTCTACAACAATGTATTACAAAAAAAAATTTTTTTTTGTTTATCTCTAGAATTCAACAATCAACGCTAACAATCTTATTAATCGTTACGTTTTAACTCTGTGGAGCCGACAAGGGACATGTATTGCTTCAGCAAGAATAAGCATGCTTCAATATATGTGCATATATGCAACAGGATATACTATGTACTATATACAAGTATAATAAGATAATCGTTCGCTATGCAGCCTGTACAAGGCATTGGGAATAAATTTAGTAAACACACCTATGTATGGACAGCCGACTTGTTTACGGTGAATTTGAGCTGTTTTATGTTTAAGTCTACACTGAAGCTGTGCAGCGGATTATTTAATGATAATTCTACAAGGTTCTACCGGTGTTTATATATATATCATACATAAACTCTATATCTCCTTATTTATTTACTGATCAATAACGAATTTTTACCTGTGAAAAAACAAAACTACAGATACACAGTTTCTAATTTATCAATACCTTAGAATAATTAGCGGAAATCAAACAAAACACTTCTGATTAAAACAAATTACTGATACTCAAAATACATACACAAACTCACTGAGGATAGGCAAACCTGTCCCCAAAACAGCTGATAGGGGAAAGACATGTATATAACTGACTCCCGAGCAACACAAGAACACTGATAGGAGAAAGACATGTATATAACTGACTCCCGAGCAACACATGCACACTGATAGGAGAAAGACATGTATATAATGACTCCCGAGCAACACAAGAACACTAATAGGAGAAAGACATACATATAATTGACTCCCGAGCAACACATGCACACTGATAGGAGAAAGACATGTATATAACTGACTCCCGAGCAACACAAGAACACTGATAGGAGAAAGACACATATAACTGACTCCCGAGCAACACAAGAACACTGATAGAAGAAAGACATGTATATAACTGACTCCCGAGCAACACAAGAACACTGATAGGAGAAAGACATGTATATAACTGACTCCCGAGCAACACAAGAACACTGATAGGAGAAAGACACATATAACTGACTCCCGAGCAACACAAGAACACTGATAGGAGAAAGACATGTATATAACTGACTCCCGAGCAACACATGCACACTGATAGGAGAAAGACATGTATATAATGACTCCCGAGCAACACAAGAACACTAATAGGTGAAAGACATACATATAATTGACTCCCGAGCAACACATGCACACTGATAGGAGAAAGACATGTATATAATGACTCCCGAGCAACACAAGAACACTGATAGGAGAAAGACATGGATATAATTGACTCCCGAGCAACACATGCACACTTATTGGAGAACTACATGTATATAACTGACTCCCGAGCAACACAAGAACACTGATAGGAGAAAGACATGTATATAACTGACTCCCGAGCAACACAAGAACACTGGTAGAAGAAAGACATGTATATAACTGACTCCCGAGCAACACAAGAACACTGATAGGAGAAAGACATGTATATAACTGACTTCCGAGCAACACAAGAACTCTGATAGGAGAAAGACATGTATATAACTGACTTCCGAGCAACACAAGTACACTGATAGGAGAAAGACATGTATATAACTGACTCCCGAGCAACACAAGTACACTGATAGGAGAAAGACACATATAACTGACTCCCGAGCAACACAAGAACTCTGATAGGAGAAAGATATGTATATAACTGACTTCCGAGGAACACAAGAACACTGATAGGAGAAAGACATGTATATAACTGACTCCCGAGCAACACAAGAACTCTGATAGGAGAAAGACATGTATATAACTGACTCCCGAGCAACACAAGAACACTGATAGGAGAAAGACATGGATATAACTGACTCCCGAGCAACACATGCACACTGATAGGAGAAAGACATGTATATAATGACTCCCGAACAACACAAGAACACTGATAGGAGAAAGACATGTATATAACTGACTTCCGAGCAACACAAGAACACTGATAGGAGAAAGACATGCATATAACTGACTCCCGAGCAACACAAGAACACTGATAGGAGAAAGACACATATAACTGACTCCCGAGCAACACAAGAACACTGATAGGAGAAAGACATGTATATAACTGACTCCCGAACAACACAAGAACACCGATAGGAGAAAGTCATGTATATAACTGACTCCCGAGCAACACAAGAACACTGATAGGAGAAAGACATGTATATAACTGACTCCCGAACAACACAAGAACACTGATAGGAGAAAGACATGTATATAACTGACTCCCGAACAACACAAGAACACTGATAGGAGAAAGACATGTATATAACTGACTCCCGAGCAACACATGCACACTGATAGGAGAAAGACATGCATATAACTGACTCACGAGGAACACAAGAACACTGATAGGAGAAAGACATGCATATAACTGACTCCCGAGCAACACATGCACACTGATAGGAGAAAGACACATATAACTGACTCCCGAACAACACAAGAACACTGATAGGAGAAAGACATGTATATAACTGACTCCCGAACAACACAAGAACACTGATAGGAGAAAGACATGTATATAACTGACTCCCAGCAACACATGCACACTGATAGGAGAAAGACACATATAACTGACTCACGAGGAACACAAGAACACTGATAGGAGAAAGACATGCATATAACTGACTCCCGAGCAACACAAGAACACTGATAGGGGAAAGACATGCATATAAGTGACTCCCAAGCAACACAAGAAAACCGATAGGAGAAAGGTGTGTACCTGTCTCCATAACAACACATGACCATTGCTAATAAATAAGTTTACCTGACTCCAAAACAACACAAAAACACTGATAGGAGAAAGACATGCATATAAGTGACTCCCAAGCAACACAAGAAAACCGATAGGAGAAAGGTGTGTACCTGTCTCCATAACAACACATGACCATTGCTAATAAATAAGTTTACCTGACTCCAAAACAACACAAGAACACTGATAGGAGAAAGACATGCATATAAGTGACTCCCAAGCAACACAAGAAAACCGATAGGAGAAAGGTGTGTACCTGTCTCCATAACAACACATGACCATTGCTAATAAATAAGTTTACCTGACTCCAAAACAGCACATAAAGAAGGTGGTGAAACCGTTCATGAACATGGTGGAGCCCAGAAGGTTGGTGCGGAGGATGGCGTCATGTTCGCCACACACGACTTGTGACACAAGCAGTGTCAGGGCCAGCTGATTGGCGAATGACAGCAGACCTTGCTGAAACGACAAAACAAAATGATACCAATACTGAAAGGCCTTACGATTGTTTGTATAAATTTATTTGTTTCGAGTTAAGTAAAAAAAAAAAAAAATAATACGCATTTCACATGAAAAATGGTGATTTCTATATACAACCGTTTCCTGATTTTGCCATGTCACCGCAAACTGATGTTCATACAAAGGCAACTGACTCAAATAATGAATCCAACTATTTTGTAAGCGAATTTAATATGGTAATTTATGATAGAAAATCTGAGTTTCAAAAATTAGAATTAGGTCTTTAGCATTACTGAGGAATCTAAGACGAACGAAATAACTGTATGATATAGTTTACATTCATTATTTGGTTCTGCTGTATTTAATTGTTTTTCAAAGTTGGTATGCAATCGTGTGTATTTTGTACATTCTTTGAACAAGTGATATCACAGACAAATTACAGTTAAAAAGACTAATAAAGGTAACGATTTTGACTCGCCAAACAAGTTTTAAAAAAGCATTGTCGGTATTTTCTTTGTTGTTGAATGTTAAAGAAAGATGATTTAAGAGAAAAGTTATAGCAATGTGACTTTACACGTAATACCATCTGAGAAACAGTAAAGACAATGGAATTTGGACTTCAATATCAATTATCTATATGTTGTCTTACGGATAACAGGGGCGAAGCAAGCCCAGCAGAAATGTGTAAGCCCAGGCGAGGGGTCTGAATTTCATGCTTTCAAAGATGTTTTGAATCGTTTTCTGAGACAGTTTTTTTTATTTATTTAACAACAAACTTCAACCCCTGATATTTATTTTCAACCTTACTTTTGTAATTTTGTCCGATATACTCTATGCACGGATTTTTTATGTGTAATCCCGGGCTTTTTCTTTCTATGGAAGCTACGACCCTGGATAATCTATTTTAGAAATATGATTTAGTCACGACGAGTATTTCTGTTTTATATTAATTTGTTTCCGATGCATCTTGCTGCCATTTCTATATGGTTTCCTCTTTCTTACGATATATGTTGATCTTGTTTTGTTTAGAAATATGTAATTATATTACAGTTCAACCAAGATATATATTTTGTAATCATAACTTTGGTATTAAACATGAAGCGGCCTTGGTTGATAGTACGTACCTGGAAAGCAAAGATGATAGTTAGATGCAATGGTGGATTATCGCTGATCTTGTACACAAGAGGAGGCAATTGTTTCACCAGAGAGTTGTTGCTGTCAGTTTGCAAACTGTCCTCAGTTGTTGTGTTGTCCCCGTCTTCATCCTCCGTCAGATATTGACTGCCCGTGTTACTCATAGCTACCTGTCCAAGTACGTCGTTATATTTAGAAGGACAACTTATGGTTTCCGATGCATCAGACATTCCGATTTTCCAATGAAATAGTACTTTAAAATAACAGTGTTTTATTAGACACACCCGTTTCTACTACAGCTCTGTGATATAAACGGCGAATAGTTTACGTTGTTATGATAGTTACAATGATCCGTATTGTGTCCGATCTCTGACTACGGTAAGAAGCACATGCGCACAGAAATGCTGACAGGACCACATGTTACTATAAAAAGAGGTATTGTTAGACTGCTTTTGGTGTACATGAACAATGCGGGCTAGAATTTTCATCATCTACATGAAAGCAGAAAGTCCTTCAATTGTTATGAAGCAGAACACCTAGTTCAACAGACGGATAGTAAATATATTGATGTGACTGATATAAACTTATACAGGGCTAGTGATGTAAAGTAAAAACAGGATGGCTGTTGTACACCGTTACAAAGTGATTGTTTACAGTTTGACCGCTGCATAATGTAGACAGGGCGACTGTTGTATAATGTATACAGGGTGTCTGTTGTATATTGTATACAGGGTGTCTGTTGTATACTGTATGCAGGGTGACTGTTGTATACAGGGTGACTGTTGTATACTGTAGACAGGGCGACTGTTGTATACTGTATACAGGGTGACTGTTGTATACTGTATACAGGGCGACTGTTGTATACTGTATACAGGGCGACTGTTGTATACTGTATACAGGGTGACGGTTGTATACTGTATACAGGGTGACTGTTGTATACAGGTTGACTGTTGTATACTGTATACAGGGTGACTGTTGTATACAGGGTGACTGTTGTATACTGTATACAGGGTGACTGGTGTATACTGTATACAGGATGACTGTTGTGTACTGTATACAGGGTGACTGTTGTGTACAGGGTGACTGTTGTATACTGTATACAGGGTGACTGTTGTATACTGTATATAGGGTGACTGTTGTATACTGTATACAGGGTGACTGTTGTATACTGTATACAGGGTGACTGTTGTATACAGGGTGACTGTTGTATACTGTATACAGGGTGACTGTTGTATACAGAGTGACTGTTGTATACTGTATTCTGTAGACAGGGACTGTTGTATACTGTATACAGGGTGACTGTTGTATACTGTATACAGGGTGACTGTTGTATATTGTATACAGGGTGTCTGTTGTATATTGTATACAGAGTGACTGTTGTATAATGTAGACAGGGCGACTGTTGTATACTGTATACAGGGTGACTGTTGTATACTGTATACAGGGTGACTGTTGTATATTGTATACAGGGTGTCTGTTGTATATTGTATACAGAGTGACTGTTGTATACTGTATACAGGGTGACTATTGTATACAGGGTGACTGTTGTATACTGTAGACAGAGTGACTGTTGTATACTGTATACAGGGTGACTGTTGTATACTGTATACAGGGTGACTGTTGTATACTGTAGACAGGGCGACTGTTGTATACTGTATACAGGGTGACTGTTGTATACTGTAGACAGAGTGACTGTTGTATACTGTATACAGGGTGACTGTTGTATACTGTATACAGGGTGACTGTTGTATACTGTAGACAGAGTGACTGTTGTATACTGTATACAGGGTGACTGTTGTATACTGTATACAGGGTGACTGTTGTATACTGTAAACAGGGTGACTGTTGTATACTGTAGACAGAGTGACTGTTGTATACTGTATACAGGGTGACTATTGTATACAGGGCGACTGTTGTATACTGTATACAGGGTGACTGTTGTATACTGTAGACAGAGTGACTGTTGTATACTGTATACAGGGTGACTATTGTATACAGAGTGACTGTTGTATACTCTATACAGGGTGACTGTTGTATACAGGTTGACTGTTGTATACTGTATACAGGGTGACTGTTGTATACAGGGTGACTGTTGTATACTGTATACAGGGTGACTGGTGTATACTGTATACAGGATGACTGTTGTGTACTGTATACAGGGTGACTGTTGTATACTGTATATAGGGTGACTGTTGTATACTGTATACAGGGTGACTGTTGTATACTGTATACAGGGTGACTGTTGTATACAGGGTGAGTGTTGTATACTGTATACAGAGTGACTGTTGTATACTGTATAAAGGGTGACTGTTGTATACTGTATACAGGGTGACTGTTGTATACTGTATATAGAGTGACTGTTGTATACAGGTTGACTGTTGTATACTGTATAAAGGATGACTGTTGTATACTGTATACAGGGTGACTGTTGTATACAGGGTGACTGTTGTATACTGTATACAGGATGATTGTTGTATACTGTATACAGGGTGACTGTCGTATATTGTATATAGGGTGACTGTTGTATACTGTATACAGGGTGACTATTGTATACTGTATACAGGGTGACTGTTGTATACAGGGTGACTGTTGTATACAGGGTGACTATTGTATACAGGGTGACTGTTGTATACAGGATGACTGTTGTATACTGTATACAGGCTGACTGTTTTATACAGGGTGACTGTTGTATACAGGGTGACTGTTGTATACTGTATACAGGGTGACTGTTGTATACTGTATACAGGGTGACTATTGTATACAGGGTGACTGTTGTATACTGTATACAGGGTGACTGTTGTATACTGTATACAGGGTGACTATTGTATACAGGGTGACTGTTGTATACTGTATACAGGGTGAGTGTTGTATACTGTATACAGGGTGACTATTGTATACAGGGTGACTGTTGTATACTGTATACAGGGTGAGTGTTGTATATTGTATACAGGGTGACTATTGTATACAGGGTGACTGTTGTATACTGTATACAGGGTGACTGTTGTATACAGGGTGACTGTTGTATACTGTATACAGGATGACTGTTGTATACTGTATACAGGATGACTGTTGTATACTCTATGGAAAATAGATTGGAATATACGCTGACCCGATCAGTCAATAAATGTTCACGGTTTTAGATATTATATTTCAAAAGAACGTCAACTGCATGCATATGGTGCAGGGTGTTGCATGCGAGGTTACGGAACATCTCGTGGTCTAACGTCCACAATCAGAGGCTACCTCTTTAAAATAGCGCATAACATAATAACATAGTTATAATTAGAGACATCGTTCAGTCTAGTAATGAATCCTGTTTGGACTCGTCAGTAACGATTGTGGAAATAGGAAAATTAAGGTTGTTTAAAAAAAGAAATTTCACATTATGTATTGAGAGGTGCACTAATTCCATTTTAATCTTGCATGATCTGCAAGGAAATACCAATATTTAATGGAATCACTATTCAAGCACAAATTCCTTCATGCTGAGTTACAATTGAACACAAGAAAGATTCATATTGAGGATCCTAAAAAAGTACAAGGAGAATAATACCAGGTGTTCCGGAACAGAAAGTGTCTTCTTCATTGACGACTGCCGCCATGTAAAATTTGGTCAATCCAAGTAAATAATGTCACGTTCTCAAAATGAGAACAATGTAAACAACGCTCAGGGCTTTCAGTAAACGTGTTCAAGACGTTATCAAACCGGTAAATGACGAGATAGACAAGTGGTAGAGGTAGAGAAACCACTAACGTCCAAATACCATGGGAAATTCTGGAGACAACTACTTAAAATGCAGAAGAATGAAACAATTTCTCACAATTCTAATCACAAAAGTTATGTTGTACTTATTATAAAGGGGTTTAATAGAAAGAAGAAAATGACGAACAGATATCTAACGAGTAAATCCAAACTATTTCAGCACATCTTGTCACTTGTATCCATTTAATTTGTAAAATTCAAGACATCGATATTTAATATACGTCATTCGAAATATTCCTTGTTACTTGTGATCTATGTAGAATATAAAGTAATTACAACATCAGTGAACAGGTTTGATAAGTGAGAGTTAACTTGAACGTTATAACGTATGAATGGAAGAGAATGATTTGTTGTCGTATTTTGAAAGTTTTATATGATTGATGCATGGTCCCTTCCTTGACAGCTGTCTTATTTTCCATGTTTCTAAGGCAATCTAATTAAAATGTTTTGGCATTGTTATACAAAACATGAGTAGACAGGTCATTCGTAAACTGATCTTGTCTTTTCAGTCAAGTATTGTATAACGACAGTCTTGAATTTTACCTGAAAACGCTGTATTGGATGGTCTATATATTTTTTTGTGAAAGCTGTCCCTTGCATATCTACATTCTATTATGGTAATATATGCAATTTTATATAACTACTAAATTTGGAAACATTTTTCTCTACAGAAATATGTAACACAGGTAATATATTGTACTAAATAAGTCTAATATTCTTTGTACATCTGGCTTGTATATATGAATGAAGTGACATTCTTTAAAACCGGTTTAATATGAACTTGATGTAATCATACTAGTACAAGCAATACATCATTGGCAAACTAACATTTTCACCATCTTTTAATATCCTGTTTACCACGCCCATCAGTTAATAAACAGTACCTACTGGGCCTGCTTAGATAACTGTTATTCGTCAGATAGAGATACAAAAAAACACAGAAAAGCTGACAAGGGTGTTTGTCATAGGCATCTCTGTGTCAAAATTAGTTGTGAAATGTTGTAAGGAATTTCGGTCACCAGAAAAACAATACGAAATTAGGTCATATACAACATAATCTAATCACAGATTTTTTTTAAAGATGTTGATGAAAATCACATTGTTGTTTAATATGTAGTTGTAGTTTAAACTTGATTCATGTATGTAACTTTGTAGATTTTAACTAACATTATTTTACTAACCAGAGGACCATGTGGAAGATTAGCTGTTGGCTAAACATGTTTTATATCCTCAAAAAATAAACTTTATTATCATTACTAAACAGGGGTCTGTCATATTGGTCAGCATGATGAACCCATTCTGGCGGTACTGCTGTAATTTCAAAAGGTTAGGACTTGCCAAACTGTAGGAAAAGGCGAGAAAGCTACAGAAGAAACTGTCCGTTAAGGAATACTAGATGCACGTTGCTCAATATTTGTTTGTCCATTGTTCTGCTACTGAATGAATAACCGTAATACTTCATATTCTATTTAGATAACCTACTTTAATTGATTTCTCGCTACTGATATGTTATCTAAGTACATGTGGAGAATTGTTTTATTGGTGTGAAAGGACGATATTTTTGTTTTAAGGGATCGTAATGACGATATTTTTATTTCATTGGTGTGAAAGGACGATGGTTTTGTTTTTGTTTTATTGAAGTGAAATGACGATTTTTTTGTTTTCTAGAAGTAAGATGACGATATTTTTTCTTATTAGTGTGAAATGACGATTTTTTTGTTTTCTAGAAGTAAGATGACGATATTTTTTCTTATTAGTGTGAAATGACGATTTTTTTTTTGTTTCATTGAAGTGAAATGACGAATTTTTTTTGTTTCATTTGAGTGAAATGACGATATTTTTGTTTTACTGCTGTGAAATGACTGTTTCCATGTTTCATTATCAAATCTAAGCTCATAAATCCATTTGATTCGCTGTTGACATATCATTTAACTTACGGGAAAGTTTTTGCCTACTTTTTATTTTTTTTTAAATGAATATAGAATTCTTAGTATATACAGATATTTTATCGTGACGTTTGAGATATTCCAGTAAAAATTCGAGTATTTTCTGGCGTGCGTCATCAGCTGTCTACAGTGAACGTAGTAAAATATACACGTATAAACACAATACAAATGTCATGATAGTAACAGATTACTCGTGTATATGACAAATACTCGTGTTATTAACGCTGTAGGATTTAATTGCCAGAAATACCTAGGGGTTGCATTCTCTGTAGTTCTTTTCACTAGGATATGACAATATTTATACCCAAGTGACATTTAAGGTAACCACAGACCCATTAGTAAGGTCATCTTAAGGCAGGCAGGAATAAATCACAAGTGATGAAGCGGAGGTTTACTTAAGATAAATGTTTAACAGGTGTATGTCACCTGGTCAGAAACAATGGTTATTCTACACTACACAGAAAGTGACTGTATAAGAAATCGGTCTACATGTACTGTTGTGTATCATATAGCGTATTACCATACATATTATACTATGTAGGCCATCAATAGCGGGGCATGAAGTTGGTTCCCAGATCCTAGTTCCGTTTAAGACAAACAGAACTGGGAACCAGATCTCAATTCCGTCTAGTAATAACATATGTGTTGGTAAAACGAAAAGTCCAATATGCATAATATAAATTTAATTCGGTACAGGAATCGAACCCACAACCTTTCGGATAGAAATTAAGACTACGACAGCTTTCATAAAGGGAACAGGCTTTATACAGAACTCACACTCAAACTCCAGAACTGGGAACCAACTTCAGGCTCCATCAATAAATCAAATCTTCGAGGGCTTACATATCAAATATACGGGCATTATCACATAGCTTGTGTTGTCTATATATTGTAACGGGTAAGATAATGTAAACATGTTAATTGAATCTTAATTCAAAGGCACATTCTATTAAACCGATGGTAATCTGTGTACAAAAGAAAGATTTACACGCAATCTTCTGAACAAAATACAGAGATAATCGGACCAGGTGTTCCGGAAGGATACCTACAACAATCGTCAAGCAAATCTTGGTCAATCCGAGGGAGAAATGTAATTTCCTGGAACGAAAACACGGTGAACAACAATGGACGAGGGAAATTAAGGAGCACCACACGCGTCCAACTTTATAGCGATCAAGGGAACAGAATATTTCCCTATGGATTCAAGATGGCGACCACAGAACATTTTGTTTAAATTATCACACGAATGTTGCGTGTTTGTATTAATGTTATGTTGTTTTCTTTGGTTAGATATTTCCTTAGTGGTATGTCTAGTAAGTATTGTGTAGTCAGTTCATGATACTTAATGCTTTATTTTACCGCTTTGAAAAAATAAGTTATATCACACTCTTGTGTAAATTTATACAATTCCAATTACAGTTACACTATTAGTGTTCTATTTTCACAATTTTATGATTTAAAGATTAAAAACCAGTATATTAGATACCGTGTAGTAGGTTTGTTACGATTTCTAACAATATACAAGTCTGTAATTCTGTTTTCACCCATTGAAAAATCTTTCAAGAAAAACTCATTTTCTCTCATTTCCGTTATGTAAAGTAATCATATAAATGTGATTAGCAAGTAATTAGCCCCTATAAATTTAATTTAAAAAAATAAGTTGAAATGGTGAAGTCAAACAAGGAATAAAAGTGTATCCTACAGCTGTTTTGTCCTTCTATGTCAGAGCCTAGATCGGGAAGTCCACCGGCAGTATCAAGCTTCTGCTATCTCCATCGCGTTAAAAACGCACAAGTAAACAGCGCCTTTCAGTTTAGATCTACAATTATATAGTTATACTAATATAGAGCGTAAAATCTACAGTCATGGCTCTTCATCATGATATACGATAAATGTGGTGACACAATTTTTATGGTCTGGGAGTGAGTAAACAACAATAATACGCATCACGTATATTTCATAACCTGACTGTTAAAAATAACACACAAAATGATGAATTTAAATACCTTTATGACAATTATTGTAAGAATATTCCATGGGGCAATAGTTGTCCGGTATCCAGAAACTCCTCTGTATAAATCACCCACGTCTACGTATGACATGAGGTGTGTGGGACATTTATGGTTAGTAAGTAAATGGACGACAAACATAAATCTATATACATTATTAATTAAAATGTGTTTAGTTTGGTAAAGTTTGGTAAAGATACAACGTAAATATATCTTAACATTTATATATTTATACAATCTTCGCTCTTAAACTACTTACCAGGAAAATGGATTTCGACTTTGACTACGAAAACTGTCTAGAAACGACTAACCTATTGATCTCCTCTACGATATTTCAAATATTACAAAAAAATGAAAATTGTTTACATCTTCAATACATAGAAAATATATGTCATGTGTTAACCTTCAAAACACACAAAACTGTACATGCGGCCATTTTCTTTTCCTTTACAAATGTCTTCATCGCGGTGAAACCATGTGAAACTATAAATTCATACCATTCCTTGTTCTTTTTTTCAATAATGGCGTCATGCTCAGAGACAGACATGTTGTCGCCTTAGCAACACGGACTTCAGTGCATTCTGGAAGTGCTTGTTCCGGGTCACGTAAATGATTGGACTAAGACACGTATTCAGCAGAATGGGCATGAAGAGAATTTGCGAGAGCATAATCTTCTGCAGAGGGTCCATGTTTGGAAGATGATAGAAACCTGTCATCACTAGGACCGGAAGCCAACAAAGAGTTGAAACTCCGCACAAAATGAAGACGGTCACGACAGCTGTAGAACTGAAGGTTTTCACGGTGAAGTTCTTATCGGAGGTGTGAAGACTTTGTATGTGACGGATGACGCCGATAATCTTCTTTGAGTGTTTGTGTGCTATACTGAGAAGAATGATATGTATTACTCCATTTGTTGTCAAAATCAATAACGCAATGCACTTCAACATTAACGAAAACGAACTTGGAAACACTTCAATGACGCATCTATCGTACATGTCCCAGTTGTTCCAACCAAGAACCGGAAGTAAAGTTATTGATAGTCCGAAGAAAATTGATATCAGGCACCATATGATAACGTGGTATGATTTAATCTTCCTGTGAATGGTCGGACTAACTATGCAGATATATCTGTCGACGGCCAATCCAAGGTGTATGAAAAGCGACGATATGATCCCACCGTACGAAAACGAAAATACAACTAGGCACATCCACTTCCGGTCAGAAATGTAATCCAGGGCGACAGAGTAAAACATATAAAAAGGAACGCCCATCGAAATAAAAAGATTGATGGCGGCCAAACAGATAATTAGCTTGTCGTGAATGGATCGTAGACATCGATGTAATCCAAAAGTGGTTATGACGAGAATATTACAGACGAGAGAGGCAATGAAGATGATACAGAACGACAGACTAACGACTGTCACTTCATTTTCCCAGGCACCGTGGGCGAAAAAGTCCTTATCTACCGCCGATGTGAAATTATCCATGGTTATTCCAGCACAAAAATGCAAACTTATCACAGTCCAAATTGAAGTAACTGTGGAACACTACAAAATAATATCGATGCAAGCTACCACTTCCCTCAGAATAGTGCATTCGAAGATCCACAACAAACTGAAGATATCTAACGAAATGGAGAACGATATTGATATTTTTCCGATACAGCTGTAACTTCTGATGTGCAAGCTCCGAATGTTAATGCAGATAACTGTTCCGAAATAAAAAGTGAATGTTTATGCCACTTTTCCTAGAATTTTTCTGTTTTTGTTAGAAATCCATGAGCACCACATTCTAATAATAGTGGGAGTCAGAGTATAATGTTAGGGCATGGACAAATTGGATATATATATACAGTAAACACTATAGCAAATCTGACATATAATTTATTATTAAGAACGGTAGACAAATGAAGGTGTATCACTTGTACTTTTTATACTCGCCAGTCAACGATGAAACTTATTAGCCACGCTCTCAGTTCATTTACTTAAAAAAAATTGTACTATTAAAAAACTTAGAAAATAAAATGGAACAAAATAGTGTTAGGTGTGTCGTGTGAAAACAGTTGTGAGTGAAGGTGATTGATAATGTAGGGGAAACCACGTGCTGCTTGTCTTTAAAGGATAATGTGACAATGTTTATGTGTCAGTAGAGTACCGCCACACGAGTTGTGTGTGTCAGTAAATTACTGACACCCGAGTTGTGTGTCAGTAGAGTACAGACACCCGAGTTGTGTGTCAGTAAATTACTGACACCCGAGTTGTTTGTGTCAGTAAATTACTGACACCCGAGTTGTGTGTCAATAGAGTTACCGACAAGAGTCTCATAGAATACTTAGACTTGACACAATAGGATTGTGGGGTTTTTTTTTATTAAAATTAAATTTCAAACATTAATTTTCTGATGTTTTATTAAGTGGTTTTATAGAATAAGGAAAATGAAATTGTTAAAATATACGTCGGAAGTATAGAATTAGTTTTATACATTACAGGTAGTTGGTTTGAAATCTTTATGAACTAAAATATCTTTTTTGTACAAATTAAAGAAGCAATGCAAATAATGATCCCTGAACATATAATGTTTTTGAGATTAAGTTAATAGTATCACCCAGTCGGTTATACCTATATCTGTTGTATTCGGGAATAAACACAAAGCTTATTTATACAATATGTGTCTTTTATAACTTCTGTAATTGTTATAACTAATAAGATATATCATACAGACATTACAAAAAATACGAGAAAAATTTATATCGTCTTATCCATCTAGTCTTTAATTAAATCTGACCCCGTCCTTGTACTCGCCATTTATGACAATCGTATTTCCGTTAAATTCATATCGAATGATAGAATATTCAAGGGTTTGAAACATCACCTGTATCCGTTGTTTATATAACGATAAAAACAATCTCTTCTGTGGGTTCCTGCTGTGCCAACCATACATTACCAAAACAAATCTATGTGTATCACGTTTCAAATGAAAAATCCAGCCTTACAGTTGCGCATGTTTGTATTAAGCTTTACTTATTTTCAGTCAACAAAGGAAACCTTACGCTGTTTGTGACCAGGAAAACGGCCAAGTTCAAAATTAACCATAGAATTTTTTTAAAAATGACAAATATATTTTTCCAGTTTCGAATCCATAGACTTCACAGAATTCAAAACGCATGATTACTTGTTTTTTTTTCATTCAAGGAAAACGTTTTTATCTTACGACCGAGAAGGTAATAAGTCTTTCTGTCTTATGAAGAAATATCATTTTGTACCACTGTAAGTTTATCGTTGTTATAAAGAAATATCATTTTGTACCACTGTAAGTTTATCGTTGTTATAAAGAAATGTTATTTTGTACCACTGTAAGTTTATCGTTATTATAGAGAAATATCATTTTGTACCACTGTAAGTTTATCGTTGTTATAAAGAAATATCATTTTGTACCACTGTAAGTTTATCGTTGTTATAAAGAAATATCATTTTGTACCACTGTAAGTTTATCGTTGTTATAAAGAAATATCATTTTGTACCACTGTAAGTTTATCGTTGTTATAAAGAAATATCATTTTGTACCACTGTAAGTTTATCGTTGTTATAAAGAAATATCATTTTGTACCACTGTAAGTTTATCGTTGTTATAAAGAAATATCATTTTGTACCACTGTAAGTTTATCGTTGTTATAGAGAAATATCATTTTGTACCACTGTAAGTTTATCGTTGTTATAAAGAAATATCATTTTGTACCACTGTAAGTTTATCGTTGTTATAAAGAAATATCATTTTGTACCACTGTAAGTTTATCGTTGTTATAAAGAAATGTTATTTTGTACCACTGTAAGTTTATCGTTATTATAGAGAAATATCATTTTGTACCACTGTAAGTTTATCGTTGTTATAAAGAAATATCATTTTGTACCACTGTAAGTTTATCGTTGTTATAAAGAAATATCATTTTGTACCACTGTAAGTTTATCGTTGTTATAAAGAAATATCATTTTGTACCACTGTAAGTTTATCGTTGTTATAAAGAAATATCATTTTGTACCACTGTAAGTTTATCGTTGTTATAAAGAAATATCATTTTGTACCACTGTAAGTTTATCGTTGTTATAAAGAAATGTCATTTTGTACCACTGTAAGTTTATCGTTGTTATAAAGAAATGTTATTTTGTACCACTGTAAGTTTATCGTTGTTATAAAGAAATATCATTTTGTACCACTGTAAGTTTATCGTTGTTATAAAGAAATATCATTTTGTACCACTGTAAGTTTATCGTTATTATAAAGAAATGTTATTTTGTACCACTGTAAGTTTATCGTTGTTATAAAGAAATATCATTTTGTACCACTGTAAGTTTATCGTTGTGATTAAATACCAAGCATACATAACAACACTGATTTACCATCTCTATATCTTTTTCGTCAAATTCTCGATGATAATGATGATGATGATGATGATGATGATGATGATGATGATGATGATGATGATGATGATGATAATGATGATGAGGATGATGAATGTATTATTTCAATTTCAACCAATTTTATTGACAAAAAACAAATGTCAACAGGACTGGACATGAGGCATTGTCTGTCAGTCCTCGCCTAATAGGTGTCTTCTCACTTATGTTGGCTAAGTGAGAATGAACCGCCTAATAGTGGGAACAGGTAGTACAGGAAAAGGAAAGTAAGAGACATGTAATATATATAAAGTATTGAGGTAGAGTTAAGGGGAAGTAACTCCTTGATGTTTATAGAATAGGTCAATCACATATAATATACATATAGTAACACTTCGACTAAGGACATTTAATTCATCAAGATTAATGCATGATTGATATTGAATATTGTACAAAGTACACATTTTACTGACATTCATTATTGTTGTAAACTGGTAAGCATAGCTATTTGGTGATATTGGATTCATCACCCAGCAAATACAGGCCATGTACAGTCCATAAACATAACACACTGGCCACACGCTGTTGAGGATCAGAAGACAATCTTATCAAATAAATATATAATTTCATGGTAGGGTTACACTAACTCCTACAAGGAATATGATTACTACATATATATGTATATTCAATAAAAGTTCCTTCCTTATAACGTCGACACGATAGACATTTGAATGCCAGGTCAGACCAAAACCTGGGAGAGTACCATGTGTGGTAACCTTTCACCCCAGCATGCCACCACTGTCAACAATCTTCCAGAATCATTGGAAAATCGTGCTGTCGTCCATTAAACTGCAGAATATTTCCCCGGAACCACCAATACTAGCTTATCGCTGACCGAAAAACATCAAAGACCTGGTGGTGACCCGTAAGCTACCAACAACTTCCAACACTCCTGCAACTGGCTGTTTCAAAAACATGAAACAGTAAGAGGTGCAGGTTTTGTCACAGTACCAATGCATTCAATTCTGAGGTCAACGGCCAAAACTACCACATCCTCCAGTCTGTATCATGTACATCGGCCAATGTAATATACTTGATTATATATGCCAAATGCCATTTGCAATATGTAAGGGAGACCAAAACACCACTTAATCTCAGGATCAACAATCACTGATGTTCTTTCAAACAGAAACGCCCGGATCTGCCTGTAGCAAGACATTTCAACATGCCAAGTCATTCGTGGCAGGACATGCAGGTGGTAACCATTGACTACTGCAGATGTTGGGGTGACCAGCAATGCCTCAGTAAGGAACAACACTGGATCAACCAATTCCAAACCTGCTACCCACTCAGCACGAACGAGAGATGATCTTGCTACTACATACAGGTCCGGTCAATCAATCTGTCTGCCGGTACATCTCAAGCTACCACTGAGACAACTAGTATAATATCACCCACCTATCCGCCCCGTTTAGAATTTTTTTAGAATAAACTTACTTGCTCTATTTATTGCACTTTTTATTTAGTTACTACATCAGCTTTCCTTCATTTTTGAGATTGGCATCATTTACTAGCAATAGTCCGGAAATTGAAATTTTCAGTATTTGACCATATTAAAAATGATATTTTTATATCAATATATTTTTTATATCATTTTAGCATTTTTTCACAATACATTTTCTTATTTTTAATCAAGCAATTCCTCATTTAGAACGTGGCCGAGATGTACCGGTAGACTATTGTCCTCGGAGTGAGTTATAACTGTGTATTTTTATATGTTCTGTGTATATGTGGTATACTTAAACCCATTTAATGAGCTAGCAGTTAATTCCATATTTTCAGAGAATATACATCATGGCAGAGTGAGTACAGGTGCGTGCTGAAGGTTCCGACTCTATGACGAGTGATACAGACGCTATTGGGATTCAGGTGAACTTTTTCCTACATAGTTCTAGAGGAGTAGACTTTGTATAACGAATGTGGTGTATATTTTAACTTGAAAAGTGTTATATGGGGAAAAAGTCAAACAAACGTAAATTGTCAGTGACACCTCATAAGCAATCATCCGAGACCGGCACAAGTAACAATATGTACTC